AATTATTCCACACACTGTAACCCAATGCGTTTTAGTGGCATTACTGCATTGCTTGGGTAAAAAAAATACAATGTGAGTTGCTATTCTGCAAATACAAGTGGGTTACCCCCGCAGTTATCACTTTATATATGTAATGGAATGGCTTGGCTTTATTTCAGAATTCGATTCCGCAGAGAATGGTTAGGGGACAGCGGCCAATATTCCATTCTTTAGAAGCTGAAAGAGTCTATCATGAATTGATAGGAGATTTCTTTGACTATACTTTCACGTTGAAATACTGGTTCCCGTATGATCATCGAAATTAGGCACTAGGAATTGGACGATTGACAGTTTGGGAATACCAGCAGCTGTAATCTTGGATTTGGATAATGCCTCAGAATTGTTAATTGGAGAGCCGAATTCCAACACTGCGTTTCGGCTACCCAACGGTTACCCTAGGAAGTTTCACAGTTAGTACTTATGAGAGGAGGAAGAGTTCATTCTACTGTAGGAGGTTTTACCACAACAGTTAGGAACACGGTTTCCTCTGAAGCATTTGAATTAATAATGTTAGTCTATATAATTTTTATTGCAGACCTTTTGATGCTGATTATAAGACTAACAGTTTGAACTACCCAGTTTAAGAAATACCTGTTTTCATCTCGACGTTAATGCAATAATGATGAAGGAGGTGTCTCTGTTGATGACATAGGTATTCATAGCTTGAAAAAGAATTAACTAGAACAAAAAAATCAGCACATTAAAAATAAAAACATCCTCTATCTAGTGTTCCAAAAATAGGACTCAAGATAAACCTTTCCAAAACAGAAAATATGATCTGGAATTGGAATGAAAGCAGTGATGGCACTGATACCTTGAATCAATCATAAAAATGAAAACATCCTCTATCAAGTTTTCCAAGAAATAGGACTCAAGATAAACCTTTCCAAAACAGAAACTATGATCTGAAATTGGAATGAAAGCAGTGAGAAACTGAATCCGATCTGGAATTTCCAAAACAGAAACTACGATCTGGAATAGTGTATGGTTGCTAGTAATCAATAATCCACATCTGGTCGATCAAAAGAGGCGTTCATTTAAAAGGGAGCAAAACAACATCATGTTTAGATGTAACAGAGTCTATCTTCTTCAAGTACTTCCATTAAAAAATATTTTGAATTAATTCAGTTACTGAAGCTATGAATACCTATTCAGAAGTAGTTAGTATTTATTCAATCGAATTTAGCCGAGGACATGCAGAGGTAAAACAGGCAACATGAAAACCCACTTCAGACCACAATTATTTCAGAGTTTTTGAAACTCAATTTGTCAGTGTGATACCAGTGTTGTAAAAGAGGATACATTTATAAAGCAGTTGATAAGTGTGATGAAAATTGGGTGAAAGATCAACGAAAAAGAAACCAAATCGTCATTTTTAGCTTTTTACACGGGTTTACCCTATATGAATGGATCTAGTTATCAAGTTAAATGATTGTTAAACAACCAACTTATTGTTGGCTGCAATTGAGTGAAGTCTGTATTAGAGTGCTTGAAAACTGAGGTAGTTTTAGTTTAAAATTTATGTTGAAATCGATTTGTATTGAAATCGATTTTTCGTTTTCCGCTAAACGCAATGGCGTAGAAATAAAAATGAGGTATCGTTGAGCTCTACATGATGTATGTAATCCACATACCGAATTTGAACGAAATCGGAGGAAAAAAGTTGAATTTATCGATTTTTGATCGGCTTTATCGATTATTGATTTTTTAAAAAATTATCGATTTCTTACGCTAAGAACCTATCTCTTACATTGTACAATGTGTTTCCCAAGTTTGGCCAAAATCGGTTGAATGGATCTCGGGTGAAATGGTATCAAACAGACAAACACACAGACATCCTCTGTTTTATATATATATGTTATGGTTGTACCACGGTGATAGTCCAAGGTAGAACCAATAAAGAAGAACTCGAACACGGATATGGAATAACACAGATATATTACAAACAGGAATATATACAGAGGAGTAGAAAGTGTTAGTACGAACAATCAGGTTTAGTAGTAATTGTCTGAACACGACTCTGTTTCGGACTGCCTCTGACTCGACTGACTGACTCGCTCGCTCTGAGTGACTGACAGACTTCTGACGAACCTCACTCAGACTGAACTCAGACTTCAGACGGAACTCCAGACTTCAGACGGAACGGTATTTAGTCCCCCCCCCCCACACACGAGGGCATCATGTGGCACAAGGCCGGTTTAACGTGGGATCTCCGAGCCCGTGAGCTCAGCCAAAAATATGCCCTTTGAACCCGTATAAACGGGTTCAGGGTCGGTTTACCTCCCCGAAAGAGACTCCGCCCTTCGGCGTAGCCTCGTTCGGGTTCCTCCCCGCCCGAAGGCAGAGAGTTCAACCGATCAGCCGATCAGCCGGTCGCCCGACTTCGGGCTGAACTCCCTGCTTCCTCTTGAGGCGCAGTATTTATTACGTGTTATTATGGGTAAGGTCCCATAATATATAT